TTCCCTGTGGGAAAGAATAAAGTCTCTCATGCATCTGTATGTTCATGTTAAAACTAATATAATGGTTTTCTGCTGGGAAATTGAATCATATCATATGACAACTAAGAGTTTCTATAACTAAAATAAAAACAAACTAACAAAAAACAAAAACACCTTCACCAGATAGAAAAACCTTGAATCAAATTCCAACACTTGAATTGAAATGATGACGTTCTCTATTTCCCAACCTGAAACTGTTGGAGTACACAAGGGCAATTAAGTCATGGGTTAGATTCAGGGCATACTGATACAAATAATGCACACAAGTACACTGAAGTTCCACCTCTGAGTTAACTTTGAAAAGGAAAACCTTGTAACTAGGTATAGCAGATTGAGGAAAGATGTAATATAAGCATCAAATATGTGGTATTTCTCCACATTAGAAAAAAAACTATAGGGGCGCCTGGGTGGCTCGGTCGTTGGGCATCTGCCTTCTGCTCAGGTCGTGATCCCAGGGTCCTGGGGTAGAGCCCCACAGTGGGCTCCATGCTCTGCAGGGAGCCTGCTTCCCCCTCTCCCACTCCCCCTGCTTGTGTTCCTGCTCTCGCTATCTCTCTCACTCTCTCTCTGTCGGAAAATAAAATCTTTAAAAAAAAAAACTATAAGAAATATTATATTTTAAATTACAAAGCTAAGGAAAATGAATATACACACCCACTTCAGATGATGAGAAAATGGAATATAAATTTCAAAACCTCTAGGTAGTATATCAACTATACTACAGTAAAAAATTAAAATTTTTAAAAAATCCTTCAGGTAATACAGACTTTTGTGATTATAGAAATGTTCCATATCTGAGCTGTCCGATACGGCAACTACTAGCCACAAGCAGCTACTGAGCACTTCAAATATGGTTAGTGGGAATAAGAAATTGAATCTTAAATATCATTTAATTAATGTAAATTTAGCCACAGGTATCTGGACTACAACATTGGACAGTGCAGCACTAAAGAAGTAGAGGGAAATATTCGTACCTTAAATTCTGATTCAAATAGTAAAAGTCTTGTAAATGGGCATATACATAGATGCTTCTGAAAAAAATTTTTTTTTTAATTCTTATGACTTTAATGAAGACGAAAGGATTATGACACAATATAAAAATGATGCTGCATTTGTGGGGACAAATTTTCTGTACTCATTTTCTAGACAGGACTAGAATATTGGTTCACAAGTTGGCTCCAAGTTGTAATTTTCTTTGGGAGCTTCCAAAAATATGGATGCCTGGGTCTCATCCCCCCAAGCTTTTGGCTTAATTGGTTTGGGTTGAGTCCTGGGCATAAAAGCTTTTTAAAGCTACCCTGGAGATTCTAACATAGAGCCAGAGTTGAGCATTACTAAACTAGAAAGAAAATGAGAAACTGTTTATTAAGCATAGACGCAGTACTAAGACATTGCTTTGCTGGTAGGCAAAGAGGGCCTTTGACAACCCAAATTCAAGTCAAAACACCTAAGGGCTAAATATGAGCTACACATTCTAAACATTCAGAAGTGATTTGGGTTATACAATCATTTTTTTTTTTTAAAGATTTTATTTATTTATTTGACAGAGAGAGAGAGAGAGAGCACAGATAGAATGGCAGGCAGAGGGAGAGGGAGAAGCAGGCTCTCCGCTGAGCAGGGAGCCCGATGCGGGGCTCTATCCCAGGGCCCTGGGATCATGACCCCAGCCGAAGGCAGACGCTCAACCCACTGAGCCACTCAGGCGCCCCCAATCATAGATTTTTATTATCACTGAATGTTATTCAATTATGTAAAAGAAATTAGAAAGGAAGGAAATAAACTAAATATTGAGTGTCAACTTGCCTTTGCCAATTTCATGTATATTATTTAATTTCATCCTCAACATATCTTGGGAGGTATATATTATTAATTTATTTACAGATGTGGAAAGTAGATTTAAAGATATTCCCTAGGACTGGACATATGTTTGTCAAACAGTAAAGTCCACACTCTACAGCAGAAGGATTCTCCCTGGGGAAGTTTGTTTCAGTAAATTTTCACACTGGAATCAAACAAAAAAAAGGAAAAGAAAAAGAAAGAAAAAGCAGGATTCAGTGGTGGAGCGCAGGATAAGGCAAACATACTAAAACAGGTGCTTAACCAGTCCCTGTTCTGGCATTATCCAGGTTATCTGATGGCAAACCCTGGGAAAACAGGTTTGTCTATGGTTCAAATCTACACCAGCCGCTACACTAGACCATTTAGGAGTAGCTGCCTTTTATCCTAAGAACTTAAACAATTGGTCTCCTACTGCCTCATAAGCTATTAGGTATAGTCACACATTCTTCGGACAGGATAGAACAAGATGCTTATTCACAGCTGCCTGACAGTAAACAGGAATAAGACAGGGGTTTTAAAGACTTTTTCATTTTACCCCCTCCACTTAAAGGATTATTGGAACTCCTCACAGAGCAGTTTGCAGACCGTAGTTTTGATATATTTACACTGAGTGTAGAACTTTTATTTTAACCTAGGCCACTGAAAGTCTTACATTAATTTACTCATTAAAAGAAATCTTTTAAAAATTCAGTTCCTGAGTTGTTCAACCCACCTTAATTTTCAAATTAGGGGAGAAAGGTTCTCAGGGAAAAAAAAAAAAGGTAAATCCAAAGCAACAGACCCCCACTCCCTACCTATCAGCACTAATCCTTCTATCCTAAGACTCAGTATCTTTTCTCCTTTTTCAGGCCCCTACCCTGTAAAGTGACATTAACACAAATGAGTCACATTTATTTACATCTGAGGCACGAAAGAATACCTTCAGCTCATTGTTCTAATTAATGGCACAGACTTCTCCCATAGCATATTCCAAAATAAGAATACATTGACAGGATTAACTCATAAATGCACCGGCTTAGTGTATGGTAGTGTTTCTTTTCAATTTCAAATGGTATTAATTACTATTTAATTATACTCCAAAAAATGTTTCATAATTTATTTAAAAATTACAAACTCTTGTCAAAGAAGAGGAAGCAGCAGCGGTAGCTTATCCCCAGTAGTCCTACCCGCCCCGCCCCTGCCCCCCATATGTTTGAGGCTGGGCAATTTGATGAGCTGGAAAAAAATATACTCAATTGATAAAGAGAAGCTACAATGCTCCCCCATCCAATCCTTAGCCTATTAAAAGTGGAACAAAGCAAGGATTAGACCTGTTTTTTCTTAATAATAAAGAATACACAAACTCCATTTTTTTTTTTAAAGAATGATACCTATTATCTACACAGAAACAACTGATTAGCCAATTCTCACACTCACTTCCTGCATTGGAGGAAGGCCTCCAGTTAAAGATAATGTAAGTTCTACAATTTTTAATCCCTATTACAGTGCCCAAATTCATCCTTTAAATTGGCATTGGTTTTAACAGTTTGTGTATTTGTGTGACATGAAAAATTATTTATAAATATTTTTGGATGCTAGTAATCACCCTCCAAAAACTAAGTAGCTTTACATGAAGTAAACATTTTGGTGGCACAAATGTAAATTCAAAAGACAGACCTAAATAATGGTAAAAGTCATAATTCTCTAATTGTAAAAGTGAAAGTCACTACAAATTAATCTTTTCTTAATAACTAACCATAGATATTTTTCTAACCTTAATTCCAGCTTCCATCCTACCTTCTCCCCCACACATACTCCCACAAAGCCTCTAGAACATCAAAGTTAGGACACAATGTTATTATGGAAAAGTATAATAAATTTAGAATTGGTTAAAAAAGCAGTTAGTTCGCCTCTGTATGAATTTACTGAATCAATAAAAGCATAGACGTAATAAAAATACTAATGATATTAAAAGGAGAAATAATGTTTATCAAAGCACCACCAAAAGCAACCAGTGAGCATGATGCAAGTTTTCACTCTGATCCTGCTAACCCAGTCATCACGAATTTGGGAAAATACCAACACTTGTTTCATAATACAGCGACTTTGCTTTATTTTCCCATCCTTCAGTAAAACTCTACAGATGTAAAATTTTAAGTCTTGCTAATTAGTTACCAGTGCCCTTCATCCCGCAGATCAGGTGTCCTACATTTTGTTTAGGTCCCCGCCTTGAAAACAAACCCGATTGCCCCATTTTCTGAGAGGTAAACTCAGCTCCAAGCAGCTCCCTATGAAGTCACCGCGTTTGTTGTTTCAAAGATGCAATTAAACGAACATAACACAAGGCTGTCGAAGAGATTAGTTGGAAGTGTGTGGAGGTGTCAATCATGTATGTATAAGGCCAATGAAAACTGTATTGCTACAAATCTATTTTAGTCGTAGTATTTCTCCCCATCCCCCCTTCTCCAATATATTCACAACATAGGGCAATTAAACTTTGTAAGAACTTACTCGACTTTAGCAAACTTTAGCTTTCCAACTTTCTGTACTCAGAATCCAGCAACGAGCAAAGGCGGGGTGGGGGTGGGGGTGGGGGTGGGGGATTTAACTGAGGCAGGGATAAGAAAAGCAATTAAAGAGCTTGCATCAGGCAGTGTCTCTCCCTCTGCCCGTCTTCCTCCCTTCCCACCCCCTCTTCCCTGAGCCCTTACATATACACATTCTTCTGGGCGGCCTCTAACCACACCATGTCCACAGTCATTTACAGAAATTAGAAACAGACTTCGGGATCCCTTCCCACAGCACGCACATCGCAGAGCTGTACTAGCAAGATGGGGCGATGCCACTCCCTACTACCTCGCAATCTCTTACTCCCCCTCTGGGGTTTCAGTCTCCAGAATCCGGCTTTCCTCCGCGGAGAAGGTGGGTCTACCTAATTCACAATGAAATTTCATCTCATCCTTCCCCACCCAGCCACCGCACCACGAAAACCAAAGCAAAGTTCCTTCCCCACCAGGGCAACAGAGGAGTTGGTTTCAGGGGCCGGAGCAAAAGCTGGGAGAGGAGGACAGGGAGCGTGGTGTACTTTGTTTCCCACTACCGCATATCCACACCAAGAGCCCAGGGCTGCTCTTCGTCCTTACCCGCTCGTCCGGAGACCTGGTCCTGCTACTGGAGCGCGAGGCAAGGGCTGAGCCGACGCGGCGTCGGGGCGGGCCGCCGGCAGCAGCCTCGGGCGCCGAGAGCCACCACCTCCTCCCCGCCAAGCGGCTGCGGGCGTGGGCCGAAGGAGCTGAAGAAGGAGCCTGGGGAGGGGGAGAAGAGGAGCAGCATCTCCTCCTCCTCCACGCCTCGGAAACGCCCCTCCAGCGGCGACCCCGGCCGACCGCCTGACCCCCGAGCGCTGGAGTACCCTCTCCGCCCTCCTGCGCTCCGCGCGCCTCCCAGAGCTTCGCCAAACCCTCCGGCGAGGGCCGGCTCAAGTGCTGCAGCCGGCTCCGAGCGCTGCCGAGGGGGCTGAGGCGGACCAGGGAGCTAGGGAGTGCCGCGCGCCCGCAAGACGGTCCCTAGGGGCGGTGATCATGGTGTGTGAGCCTCGCCGCACCGCCGCCGCGGGAGCTACTAGCCAGCACGGGCTCCACCTCAGCCACCCGCGCCGGCCCCGCCCCCGTTCCTGTCACTCAAAAGCCTTCGCGGGCTCTAGGAGGAGAGCGATCCGCGACCGGGCGCTCGCCTCCGCCCCATTGGTCCTCCCGGCCTCCAGTTCCGCCCCCTCCCTAGGGACGGGGTCGCCGGGGAGACCAGCGCCCCGGTTCCCATGACAACCGGTGCCTAGGGCCTGGCTTTTAGTGTTCTGGCTAAGCAGACGCTCAGGTTGGTCGCGGGGCAGCGAAGTTCCTCCCCCCTGCAGTGTGCACTCCTAATTTTAGGCCAAGTTGAAAACGCGGCCGACCGCCCCCACGCTTCCAACTTCAGAAGCAGAACTTTATGGCCCTAGAGAGTGTGAGGGAGAGTGAAAAATGTCTAACTGCTTGCTCTTGCCCTGTGACTCTAAATAGCCCCTCCCCCCTCGCCCTCCCTGGGCTCCAGCCTTGTTTCCATATTCTCACAGGGCGGATTTGGGCTTTGAAAGGGTGAGGAGAAGAGGGAAGAGAGAAAGAGCAGGGCTGTGCCAGCTCCCTGCAGCAATATAGCAACTTGGAAATGGCGGGGTCAACGAAAACAGCTCGGTGAGTTTTCCCCCAGTTGTAAAGTGATCCTCAAAGGTGTGCTGGCAGCACTTCGTCAACCCCAGGTGCCCTCGGGGAAACTCAAATACTCAGTATTCTTGGAAAAAGTAGGTAAATTATTCTGTTAAAATTCCTCTGAAACTAAGATAATCCTAAAGTTAAAAAAGTTAAAAGGTTCCAGGTAATCGACTAAAATAAAGAATATGCATTTTTTATATAGGACTACACATTGCCACTTGGCAAAGTTATGTCCTAGCAGCTATACCCCTCCTGCAGACAGAAAGATTTGGGTTTCAACAATTGACAAAGAAGACTTACTGAATTCATGAGCAAACAGTATCTTGTCATTTGAGTTTCAACAGTTTGGGTTTATTCTCGGATAAGGCAACCTGGTCCACTCTGGATAGGGGACGTGTAAACGCGGTCCTGGGCTGATAGTGTTGAGCCCTAGGTGAATCTAAACTTCATGGCTGGCTCCAAAATGGAGAGATCTGAGGTGAAATTAAAACTGCAATTCTAGGTTCCCTAGCCCCTGAGGCTGCTGTACATGTATGATGAATGAGGGAATTAATAGTAATGATTTACCTTTGGCAAGCACTTGACTTCTCATTATCTCATTTACTAAATGAATAACTGTGATGGATGTGTTTAGTCAAATATACCTTGCAAGTATGCACTGAATGTAATTACTCACAGCACTAAATACAATGGAAAATGCAGAGCAAAATTTTAAGATAAGGTCCTTGCCCTCAGGGAGCTAACCACAGCGCCTAAGAAAGAAAAGTAGCATTCTTGAAACAATTTGAGATTATGGCTAGAATGTGCAGCCAAACTTTGAGTACAATAGCAGATGAAAGTATGTGGTAGGTTGAATGGGCTGAATTAGTCATATTAAGGAGCAGGGGAATTTAAACTGGGCTTTGAAGAAGAGTAGGTAGTGGGATGAAGGAAGCACCCATGAGGAAAGACAAATGAAGGAAACAACATTAAACCAAAGTGCAACAGCAGGAATAGAGTGGTGATAGTAATTAACAGTGAGAAGACCAGCCCAGCTGAACTAGAGACAGAAGTGAAGGATTAGAGCCCTTTCCCCAGTCCTTCCCCCATTTTCTGAAATAGGTGTTTTTAAGTGTTCTGGTTCATGTATAACAATGCTAAGGTCATTGTCATTGAAAGAAAGTTCATATATTTATCAGAAAGAAAAGCAAATCCATAATACTTGGAATAGCTTGCAAATTCAAGAAAGTATGAAGAGTATAGTGTTGCAAATTTTCTGAAAAGTAGACAAACCAGTGTTGTGAGCCTTGTTCCGCCCTCCCCGCCCCCCCGCCCCTTAAGGCCATTTCAGGTGGTTGCCCTCAAGGCTTTTTCACCAGTAATCCTTCTGTTTTGTATGAGGTAAAAGGCTGGTTTTAAAATAAATGGCTACGATACCAAAACCTGATAAAGAGTGTAAAGAGTACACAAAAGAGAAATCTACAAGTTAATCTCCTTTTGGATATAATGTAAAATTAAAATACTTAAGATACATGTAGACCCCAAAACTATGTTACAAATGCAATGGCAAAATTAAGAAGAATTATGCCAGGTATATAAGAATGATTCAGTAATAGAAAACTTATTCATTTGGTTGACTATATTAGTAAGTCAAAGAAGAAAAAAAAATCTGTATGAGTGTTTCAATTGATAATGAAAAGGATTTTCTAAAATCCAACATCATTCCTTAATGAAAACTTTTAAAGAATTTAGGATAGATAATTTAAATATATATATATATTTAAATATTTTATTTATTTATTTGACAGAGACACAGCGAGAGAGGGAACGCAATGAGGGGGAGTGGGAGAGGGAGAAGCAGGCTTCCCCCTGAGCAGGGAGCCCGATGCAGGGGCTCGATCCCAGGACCCTGGGATCATGACCTGAGCTGAAGGCAGACGCTTAACCAACTGAGCCACCCAGGCTCCCCGAAAGACACTATTTAAAAAATTTTTTTCTCAATAAGTCTAGAACTAATTCCAAAAATCTGCATACCTTCTGTTGTTATGGTTGTTTGATTTCTTAAATAGCACTTACAGTTTTCATACACATGTTTCATGTAATCCCGTTGAATACTGAAAGAACATTACAGGCTATATCACTTTATAAATGAGGAAAATGACACTCAAAGAAGAGAGGTGACTTGTCAAGATTTGCACTTAGGTGTTCTGAGTGCAAATGCTGTGCTCTTTCATTTTTTCGGAGCTACCAGGCTGCCTCCTAACGTTTAGAGTTATCTGTGCCATTGCTGTCATGTAACTCTCCATCCTAGGGGAATTCTCACATTCTAAAGAGAGTTCAGCCAACACCAAAAGAAAATAACCTGTTTATTCAATGGGCCTGAGGGTGATTGTAGTCCTATCTGGTTTCCATTGCTGTATTTTTTCCCCAGCTAATTCTTGGTTCACTTGGAAGTGTCAGTACTGTCTCACAAAGTCTTCCTTAAGCACTGTCAGACTTTGTGCTCCAATTACCTGCTCATGTTTTGGTGGACTACTTATCTTGCTTCTGCTTCTCCCCTGGGCAGAGTTCCCATCACAGTCCTTACTCTGTGAGCATAAAAAGGGATAATGTGTTTCTGGGCTTAAAGGAGGAAAAACACTAACATAGTTGGTACAAGCCAGAATACAAATATTTCATATTGAGATGAACACAAGAAGCCAGCTGGGAAAACATAGCTGTTTACAGATTTAGATTAGCCTAGAATTCATTTCAACCTTTGAGGTAAAGGTGGTATTTTTAAATCATTGGCATTTAAAGCACACAATCTTAACATTTTGGAAAGATATAAGCCCCTTTCTGAATTTGTTGAAATGTATAGATGCTTTCCCTAGAAAAATGCACAAACACACAAACTTGGAATACAATCTCAAGGAGTCCCTTACGGGGTGATCCATGGGTCCCACATAAAATATTCCTGACTTAGAGTGTGACACAAGGCTGGTCTCTAAGTGATGAATATTCTGAGGTCCATGAGCCAGCCACTTGGGAGCCCGTTAAGACCAGCTGTTTAGTTTCTTTATGTTAGTAGTGATAATCTGTTGACCTTTTTGTTTGTTTAGAGAAATCATTTTTATTTAGTCTTTAAGAGAAAAATCAGCTAGGGCGCCTGGGTGGCTCAGATGGTTAAGCGTCTGCCTTCGGCTCAGGTCATGATTCCAGGGTCCTGGGATCGAGTCCCACATCGGGCTCCCTGCTCCGTGGGAAGCCTGCTTCTCCCTCTGCCTCTCTCTCTCTCTCTGTCTCTCATGAATACATAAATAAAATGTTTAAAAAAAAAAAAAAAAGAGAAAAATCAGCTATGCTAGCCTCTAAGGTAGCATTGTCCAAAAGGACTTCTCGCCATGATGGAAATGTTCTGTAACTGTGCTATTCCATTCAGGAGCCACTAGCCACTTGAAATGTGGCTAGTGGGACTGAGGAACTGAATTTTTTATTTAATTTAAATTTCATTAATTTCAAAGGAGTTTTTTTCTTGTGATGAAAACTTTTAAGAGCTACTCTCAGCAATTCTCAAATATACAATACAGTATTATGAACTGCAGTCCCAATGTGTACATTACATCCCCATGACTTATTTATTTTATAGCTTGCAGTTTGTCTTAACATCCTAGACCTTTTATAACAAAAGTGACACATACATGTTGTAAAGATTTTAAATAAAAACATTTCAGAAATGCAATGTTTACTGTAATTCTAATCCTCAGAGAAACAGTAGTTGGTATAAATATTGCCATATAAATAGATATATGTATTTTTTAAAAGATTTTATTTATTTATTTGAGAGAGAGAGAGAGAGAGCAGGGGATCGGGGGGGAGAGCAGAGGGAGAGTGACAAGCAGACTCTGTGGTGACTGCAGTGCCCCATGCAGGGCTAGATCCCAGGACCCCGAGATCACAACCTGAGCCAAAATCAAGAGTCAGAAGCTCAACCGACTGAGCCACCTAAACTCCCCGAGATATATGTATTTTTGAAGAGAAATCATATTATTTTGTATAGCAATTTGATTTTGTCACTGGATAATATATATGGGCAACCATAGTTTATTTAATCATTCCACTATTATGGACATTTATTTTGTTTTTAATCTTATGACTATCAACAATACTGCAATAAATATTCTTGATCATATCTCTGTTCATATATGTAAATATTTCTATATGATAAATTTCCTAGGTGGAATAAGCTAAAGGATATAAACATTATGTATTATGAAAGACATTGCAAATGCACTTCCAAATGCAATAAGCCAAGCTATAATCCTACCAACAATCATGAGATGGTATCTATTTCACATATTTTCACCAATACCAGATATTATAAGTCTTTAAAAATTTTTTC